AGCGGGAGAGCAAGCAAATGCCAAATCCTTCTAAGAGTGGTTTATGGGAATGGCATAGTAGCAGAGTTCCACTTGGATTTATTAGGTGGCCTCTTTTTTCCCCAAATCCTATGTAACTTGAGTGAGAGCTTGCAGGTGCTGCACATGAGGTTGTTACTTTCTTAAGATGACACCCAAACTGTTCAGATGGTCTCCTTAGTTGTTCCTGACCATGACCGCCTTCCAAAGGCGGTCTCATCCTGAAAAAATCCAGAAGGAGAATCATTATTTTGCTGTGTCAACAGCTGGCCTGTGTACTGTATCGCTCAAAGTTCACCCTCTTGAAGTTTAGGAGATGTGCTGCTTCAGTTTCATAGATTACAAGTAGTAGTATGGACTAACTTGCTGATCTATTAGATTAATTAAAAAAAAAAAAGTATCAGAGGTGTTGGGTTCTGGTGAGCAGTGATATTCATGTGATTCATTCCTCTTACAGTCACAAGGATATTGCAAGGAGGGAAGATAACTCGCAAGTATCTGTAGTGAGATTAGCAGTCACATAAATTCTAAGAGAACAGTGATGTAGGTGACACTATTTGAAGGATAACCTGTATGGATACTTTGACCACCCTTTATCCTGGTCTAGGAGTTGTTGACTCTCATCAGCTTTGCCATGTGAGGGAAGGGTACTAAGCTTTTGGGGCGCTGTGCGTTTTTCTAATCCTTGCTGCTTGTGTAAGGCACACGCCTTACATGCACTTGCAACAAGGTCCACGTTGGTAGCATTTATTTCTGATGCAGAGCAAGCTTTTATTAATGATTTTCAGCCTTTCAAGTTATGATATCCTCCATTTTTCTAAGGAAAGCAGGAATCCTTAGGAACTTTGTAGTTACGTACGTGCTACCAATGAACTTGCTTCCCTTAATTGCCTTTCATGAATCCTTCAGAAGCTGTCTGCAGACTATATGTTTTGTATCACTGTATTTCCAGTGCTATGTTTCCAAGCTGTTTAAAAATCTGCCATAGTATCTTTTCAAATGAGAGAGGTTGGGTTTAATTTCCAAGCTGTTTAGTGCTATGCGAACCACTTCTGTGTGAACTTTGATTTACTGCTTTGCAAGCTCTGCCTCTGTGTGAAAGCTCTCTTTTCTTGCTTATGCGCTGGTAGCGGCAAACTCTGTGCTCGAAACCACTGTAACTGCGCAAGCCAAGAAATACTCCGTTTCCTGAAGTCATTGCTGTAGTCAAAAGCCTGCAGGGCTTAGGGATCTTAGAAGTAGGAACATACCTGCTGCCTGATTTTTTTTTTTTTTTAAATAGAAGCTTTGCCATATGTTATATTTAAATAGAAATTATGTTGTAGAGGGTAAGACAGCATCTTCTGAAAGCTTTATCAGGAATTACTACTGTTTGTGTAACTGGCTGCATGTTCAGAATAAAGGCTTATTTGGCTGAATATCGCTTTCAAATATTGAGAACATAAGCTTTATATTTTTGATATGTAAGAATAGATGAAAGTGAAAAGTTTTGGAGAGAGGATTTAGACATCTCATTTTCAGTAACTTATTACCCTTCTACTCTGGACCGGTTAATGAGGTTATAGAAAAACAATGGCACATGAAAAATATTCACAATCTATTGGACTTGTGTACAGGATTGGTTGTGTTTTAGTATTTTCTTCATACTGCTTTTCCTCTTTACTCAGTAACGGATTGTCGTAGGAGCCAAATGAATATTGCTATGCAGCTGGCCAGTGCCACGTTCAAAACAAACCGGGTGAACTTCTCGGTCACTGGTTTATGTCCTTTGAGCTGTCTGCCAGAGGCTGAGTAGAGCGATACCTGGGCCTGAGAGGCGTTTGGTGTGAAGTCAGTGGAGATCAGCTCCAAAGCCGATTTACATCTACTCTTATTTATGCGAAGAAGTGGAAAAGTAGGGGCGCGGAGGCAGAGCAGAGGTCCCGTGCAGCCATCCGTACCACGCACGCACCCTTTGAACCTAGTACGTTGCCAAATAATAGTTCTGACGGGCCACGTGTGTCATGTCTGATTCTCGTCCCATGTTGTTTATTGCTTTTTACTCACGATCCTAAAATTTCAAAAAAGTAACCAGTGACCGGTTACTATCGCAGCTTCAATTTAACTTCATATGCGCAGGGTTTAATTTTCTTCGTAACTTAAATTTTATTAGCTAAGTATCATGAGCATCTTTCACAGGTTTACAGCCTGTATCTCTCCTAATAACGCTGAGCTCAATCGTTTATGTTACGCCCAGTATTTACTGCAGGGCCATGGCACTTGCAGATCATGAAGCTCTCTTACCCCCTAGTGGAATTGTTTGTCAGTCGTCACGATTTCACAAATAACCCTTTCGCTCTGTGTAGGATCAGGCTTTCTTGGCAAACGTCTCTTTGAAGTGTCTGTTGCGTTTAAAACATTGCACCTTATACAGTAAGGGGGAGATGCTGGAGTAGTGTCTTGTTTCCTCTTCACCTTATTTTCAGGGACTTGTTAACCTTTTTATTATTATTATTTTTTTTAAGTTGCGTTTTTAAGTTAAGACTAGCAAGTCTAACTTTCTAGTCCTGTCTTTGAAAAGGAGCGGATGTCAACTTTGTCTAATTAAGGCACTGCTTAAACGTGGTTTCTAAATAATTGGTTAGACAGGTTAAAGATTTTAGTTTATACAGTAAGTTGTTCCTCGTCTTTGACCCTCTATAAGTGCAGGGATATGTATTTTTGGTTATTTAGGCATTCTACATCTTTGAACAGTGTCAAGAAGAGATCGATGTGCAGTTGAGGGAGGCCTGCTATTACTTGGCTTGAATTTGATTTTTAATTATAGCTGCTGCAAATAAATCCGGTTCTTACGACTAAAGGTGACACTGAACTTTGGAGGCTTTTTGACCTTCTTCGTTATTTAAAGAATAATTTCAACTTCAGAAAATCAGGCCTAAACTAGATGCAGAATTCATTTATTTAACAGCGTTTCAGGAGAAGGGATGGGACTTCTCTAGACAAGTTTTATATGTGCTTCCTCTATCAATGGTAATATACTAATAGTGTTCCTCATGGTGATAATTTTAATTTCGGTGAGACTGAAGTATTAAGGCTCTAAAGACATGCATACTTTTTTTTTTTTCTTTAAACCTGGCGTGGTCCATAAAAGTCAAAGCAGCAGATAAGGTTTCAAAGGCATTTTCTGTTTACATTAACAATGCTAATCAAATGTAAATGACTCTTGTGCCAGAAATTTCTCAAGTATGCCTTGAATTTAATTCTGGCGAGTCGATGCCTATGCCAAACAAACGTGTTGCATGATACTTTTCAAAAATTGATATTTAGTCTATGATTGTTTCTTTTTATTAATTTTCTTATTATGTGGCTTCTGCAATTTCTCATTGTGCTAATTTAAAAACTTCCTTGTGGTTTGCAACTAAAACAAGTTACGTAGTAGTACTTGTGCCAGCATTGTTCCCTGCTTTGTGTTTCCTTGGAAACTTCATGGCAAAATTAAAGGTCAAAATAGGCAGGCCTATGCTGATGAGAGCTCCAAAGGCTCTGCCTGCTGCTTTCTGTAAACACGTAAGGAAGAATTTTTGTCAACATGGCCCTGGAAATGAGTTGTCTGAATATGTTTCAGTTTCTACTTATGTTTACATATGAATTAAACGTTTTCTAGAAAAAAATTTATTTTTCAATTTTTGTAAACATTTTGGTAAGGACTTAAAGAAGCTGTAGAAAACCAGATGCTGCCTGGAATTTTTAAGCTGACGTTTATTACCTTCCTGGCCTGCCAGCTGAGAGCAGTGAAGTGCAAGACCAAAACGTATTACAGAACAGGCTTGCAAAACAGGGTTTTGTCCGTTCTTAAACGACAATATTAAGTAGTTTATTAGCATGGGGCTTGTTTTCTGAGCTCTGTGTGCAGCTCGTAGTTAGTTGCAGGGAAGAATTTGCAGAATACAGGAGTTCTGAGAATTTTTCTTGCCAGAAATCTTGATTGAGGGCCAGGAGCCTCTACCAGCCTTTGTAAACTGACCCAGAAAGAGAAATGAGACAAACAGGATCTGTAAACAAAGATCACGTGCTCTTCACAAATACATTTTGGAAGCATGGTTGCCTAGGGAAACAGGAAATGGGAATTATACAACAAACAACAGGGACTGCCAAAGAAATTTGATGACCTTTTTTCGGGGAATTCTGATGACAACTGCTGGAATCCTCTGTATTTCACTATCTTTCTGAATCTGAAGGTGGAGCAGCAGAACAGCTTGGTAATTATACCACAAATCTTTTTAAAAAAAAAAAAAAATACAGAAAACTTCCTTTAGGACAAAGATTTCAAGGAAGCAACGTGAGGCTGTGAGCTGCGTAATTCTGAGTTCATCTTCAACTTTTATATTGAGCTTTCCAGCTTCTGTAGTTGAGCTTTTAGAAATCAATGCCTCCTTTTGCAGATGAGATGGTAACGAAATGACTTCCTATCCGCAAGGATCAGCTAGCTCTATCCAAAGGCAATTTAATGAGGGGACGTTTTAAGGTGCCCTCAGTACCTTTCTGAGGCAGTCGTCTCAAATAGCACTGTGCGAACCTTTCACTAGGAAGCAGTAGATCTCAGCATGGGTTTTGCGCTCCCAGGAGTTACCGACAGCAAGGGAATAATCAAGAGAATTTGTAGAGGACTTGTCTCTAGGAGGGAAGGAGTCGGTCCGAGTGTTGCGTTCTCCTCTCTTCCCTCTCCCCCTGCTTTGGCAGGCCTGGAGGAGAAGCAAATTGTTTGCTCTGTGACTTCTGTACAGTTCCTATTTTGAGATGTGCCATTTCAGGTTTAAGTTGTGGTAAATAAGGGCACTGTAGAGGGGAGAGGTCACAGAAAATACCGGCTTGGGAATACTGACTTGGGATCACTCAGTCCGTTGCTTTCTCTTTCATATGAAAGATGAAGAGATGAAACTACTTAAACTTGAGACTAAAATGGGGAAACCAGGGAGTGAGTTTAGACTTTAGATGCTCTTTATTCTGGATACTGAGAAGACAGCTATGTAAAACTGCATACTTTTTACCATAGACATTAGTAAATGCACCAAGCTGCAGGGAGAGGGAAGTGTATTTGTTCAATTCCTTGAATTTTTTTCCTTTGTTTTCCTTTGTTTTGAGAGTGTAACTTTTTTTTTTTTTTTGTCAGTTCCAATGACAGGTTTCACTCAAAGGGCTACCATTGATCCAGAATTGAATGAAATCCATGTCTTATCAGGGCTCAGTAAAGACAAAGAGAAGTAGGAAGAGAATGTTAGGAACTCTTTCTGGATTTATGACACTGTGAGGAACAGCTGGTAAGTAGATAAAAGGCAAATTACTTCCAACATCTACACTGACTTCCTTTAGAAAACAATCCTGCATGATCATGTTTCCCAAGTAACTCTATAGCCTGGTATTACCAAGCAATGGTAATCTTGAAGACTGCTGAATCCTTCCAAGCACCTATCTTTCCTGTAGTCTATAGGAAGAGAGAGACCATAGAAATAAAACAATGAAGGAGGGAAGTTGTGTGAGCTTCTCCTTTGCAGGAGGCAGGTGAAGGGGGAGGGGGGAAGGAGGTAAGACTTTATAAGGACTTTTCCCCACAGGAGGAGCTCAAGGCCAAGATTTATCATCCACACACCAAATTCAGTCAAACGAAAGTTGCAAACTGCTAGAAAACCAGGTGTCATTTGCTCCAGTGTGCATGGTACTAGTTGCTGGAAATCAAGGAAGCTGTTCTGCTCTGTGTATGGATGGTGAGGAGAAGGGTTCATGCCAGATCTGTCAGCTCTCTCCAGACTGTATACAGTGGCATTTCAGGTGGCTACTAGATCCAGTGTTTGGAGAAAAAAATGCCCCCTCATCCGTTTGCTGTATAGTATTTGGTAATTGGTTGCCACTGTCTCTTTCCGGAGCTAGCAGCATTTCTCCGTTAAAGTTCTCTTCTAAACTGGGATGAATTGCACTGAAGGATGAGAGTGATTTTTTTTAAAAATGGTTCTTCAGTCAGGAGGGGGGAAAAATATATATATATCCTCATTTCCTTAAGTCTGCTTGGAAGTTGATGAGTGGCATATTAGCTTTGTTAAAGTTTGCAGCCTAGGGTTCCCTCAGCACTAATGCATCTAAGATGGTACTCTGCATAAAGAAAATACTTTGTGCGGACAGTTCCCTTGCTGAGTAATGCAGCATCTAAAGATCCTCCAAAGCTTCTGACACAGAACTTACACATGCTCTAGATTTTATTTTTCTTCTTCTTTTGGCTTGTGCTCGTGGACTGGTCAGTCAAGATGACGTTTTCTAGGATTGTTGGATAAATTTCTTTGCAAAGTTGAGAAAGGTGATGGGATAAAAGAGGACAGTATATGGAGAAGTAAGAAAATGGTCACTGTGGCGTGCCACGTGGTTCTAGTTGACTAAACGCTTGTAGCCCTTCAGTAACTTTGTCTACTTCCTGTAGGTGCTACTGACCATTACTTACTGCCTTGTATTTCAGGTCTTGCGTCTATAAGAACGACCAAGCAGCAAAAGAGAATCCGGGTAAAAGCCTCCAGGAAGAGGAGCCCTGCCCAAGATTTGCCCACCAACTGGTGTACGATGAGTTGCACAAGGTATGAGTGGTCAGAGTTGTTCTTTAGCGTTATCTAACTTTTAACACGTCTGTGCTTAGTAATTCCAGTTAAAATTAATTGTTTGTGGGGTGCATGACCCCACTCAATAAACTTAGGGCTTTGTATGTGTTCACCAATAAAATATAAATCCAAGGATTAGCTTACTATAACTTCATTAACCTATGATTTTTAAATTACTATGGCACATTTACTTACCCGTACTCCAGAATTCTGTGACTAAAATCAACTATTTCTAACTTTTATTTTATTTAGTCTGAAAAGTAGTCTGAACTGAAAGAGGCAAGTATACTTTAGGCTTATCATTCCATAGGATGTTAATGCAGTTGGGGAAACCTAACTAGTTTAAAAGTTTGGGGATGTTTAAGGAAGAATTGACGCAACTTCTGTATGGAGAATTTGTATTGTTTGTCTTTGTCACCTACATTAGTGATAGAATGTAAGTGTTATTACCCCTTAATTGTTGGATTTTAAGTGTAAAGTACCATGAGATTGAGAACAGAATTTTGTAAGTTATTGTGAGGCTTTTTAAATCGTGGCAGTTGCCCAGTTTTACTCTGTCTAAAGAGCTGTTTGATGTGCTTGTTTTGAAGAGTCTTATTTTTAGAAACCTCTGTTCAAATGACCTTTCTAAAGTCCTCTGATATAAATAAGGAGAGCCTGCATCAGTGGGATGTAGAATACATTGTTTTGAGTGATTATTTTTAAAGCTACGGAGAAAGGTAGCCTGTTAGACTTCTTGAATCTCGGTATTTGAAGATCCTTTGTGATGTTTTTAATATCAACAGTTCAGAGTCTGAACTACCAAATTATGTAGAAAAAAGTGAAGAAATAAACGACCCTCTTTTTAATGCTCCTACTTTCCTTGAGATTTGCCTCTCTGAGACTAAGTCTAACCTTGTGTTTCAAGAAATGTTGTGTCCTAAAATGATCAAGAAGGCTATTAAAGACTACTTTTTTTCTTTTGAGCTACCTTGAACGAAAATGAATTTTGTCTACAGGTGTTTTAAATGACAAACTAATTAAAAAGACATTAAAGTCGTGGTTAGTATCACTGTTTAGCTAACTTACAATTGCAGTAACATTTCTCCATGCTGCTTTCGTATGTAGAAGGCTGAAGTGTTACATCACGTGGTAGCTGAATAGCCAGACAGACAGGAAGGCAGCAAGTGGTTTTTTGTTTGCTTTGGATTTTTTTTTTATGGATTTGTGGGTTTTCCTGTCTTAAGTCCTTGTTCAATTCTTCCATGACTGGTTTATCAGTACTACTAGAACTTTACATGTAGACAGCCACAGTAATGGTTGTGACTCCTGAATGTGAATGATTGGCATTTTCTTCCTCAGCTCTTCTTTTAAGTTTACAGTTTGGGCTTTGTGCTTTACTCTTTATTCGGTTAGCTTGTTCCTTTGTGCCCAGCTAGCACGTAGACTGTCTTGCAGCTAGGCCGCTGATAATTCTGCCCTTCCAGACTCTCTGGAAATATTTTTCTCTGCAAGTCCAGTTATGGCTAGCTTGAGCCTATGGGACAAGTGGGGACGCAGCCCTCTTCATATCATCTCCCAAGAGCAGTCTGGACTGAGCCTGTTGGTCACTTTACTTTGAACGTCTTTAGGACTTCTCATTCATGTTGCTCGTCTTAGGGGAGCATAGTGGTGGTCTTGACCCAAGGAAAGGGCAGGCTGCCTGCACTGTGGCGCTTTCATTGTGCGTCTTCACCTAGAATGCTCTGTCTGGAGGCATTTTACTGAGCAAGGCTGTAAAACTCTTCAACCTCTGTTGATTTTATTTTATTTTGAGAGAGTTGCATTTCTGGTGGTTTACAAAGTCCTCTTATTGAGGCTTCCTTACAAGCTTAAATGTTGCTCCTTTAAACAAAAAATGAGACTGCTGCATCTTGATATTGTCTGTATACTATCTGCTTGTTCCTGAATTCGGAAAGGGCCTTAATACAGGTGCCTTAATTTAACCCTGTCTCGTGATGATGAGATTTGGAGTTTTTGAGGACAAGACGTTGGAGAAGAGGTTTACGATCTGTCAGTTTGAGCAGTCGTTTTTCTGTATTGTTCATATCAAGTATTTTGAGCCTCAGAGTGACAGAAGTTGGCCCAAACCCCCCTTTTCTACTCATTTCTTATGTGCTTGAAGACTTACCATACTAACAGACTTTTCCTAAGTAAAGAGATTTATATGGTTTGTAGATGTCTTATGGACTTTTTGCGACTCTGTTAGGGTGAAGTTCTAATAGCGCAGCTTTTTTCGGTATCTTAACACATAAGCAGTTTGAGAAAACTTTCTTCCTCTCCTAGAAGACAAAGTAAGGCTAACGATAAGATGGAGCAGTATGTCTAAAAGGGAGACAGTTCTCCTTCTAGAACAGACTTCTTCAGAGGTATTGACTTAGTAAATAGTCTTTATTTAACAAGATGTACACAAACAATCAACTTCTTGATCTGCCTCTCATTTACTTAGGTTCATTACTTATTTGGAGGGAATCCTGGCAAGTCCTGCTCCCCAAAGATGAGATTAGATGATTTCTGGTCTCTGAAGCTCTGTCGACCTTCAAAGGAATACCTGCTAAGACACTGCAAATACCTCATAAGAAAGCACAGGTATAGAAACACGAAAGATTTTCTTCAATTATTTCTCAAAAGTCCCTGGTTATATGATGATCTGCAAGTTTCCTGATTATTTAGAAAAATAGAAGCAGTGGGACCAGGACTAAACTACAGAATTGCAATAACTGACTTTTCTCTCGTTTTACTGTGTTTTTCTAAAGTGAGAAAAATCTGGAAGTTGTGTGGGGAGTCATGGAGAATTTTTAGATTTCCTTTTCACTCCGCTGCTCATCAGCGTGTGTTCTGGTACTGTCACCTCCTAAGGAAATGGAGTATGTTTCTGAAGCAGCATGCTAGGCGATAGTAACAGCTCACAGGGATGCTAATGAAGTCTGGAGGTTGGATCCGTTTGTGCATCTGAGACTCATCTGATGTTGGGCCGTCATTGTTTGCCATTCAGAATCGCTTAAAGATCTCACTTGCACAGAATTCAGCTGCACTGTGTGATGTGATGCTTGCACTCTTGATGTTTCAGAGCATCCTTACATTTGCTCTTTAGGGCAATAGCTTTTCAAAACTAGGCTTATGGTATTGCCTTAAGCAAGAAATTGCAGTAGCGAGAGAGCCTTACAAGATCCAACAAGTGATTTGAAGCCAATAAATATACCTCTCTGCGTTCTTGGTTGAGAATCCTTCGTTATCAAGCTCTGCCAACGGTTGGAGATCAATTTTTACCAACGGTATTTTACTTCAGAGGCAGCAAGCAAATCATTACACTCAACTTTTGGTTACTGTGACTGAATGAGGCCTTTTGCAGAGCAGCCTTGCAACAGATGTGGGTACCTACAAGAATCAGTGAAGATCTTGCCAGTAACCTGGCAGGGTTATTAATTCATGCTGTATTGCCTCCAGAGATGGCATTGAGTTACTTGTTTGCATTTGCTTAAATTACACTCTGAAGAAATGCTGCTGCGTCCTGTCTGGCAGAATTTTGTTTTTTATACACTGAGTTCCCATTTCTTGGGATATATGGGAGGAAACCCAAACGTGACCAGCTGGAGAATGATACGGTGGGTGCTGCGCTGGAGTTGATATGCCTCTCGGGACCTGAGCTGATCCCCTGCAAAGTCACTTGGATGTCCATTCACTGCACTCCCCAGAGTTCTAGGTACAGAGAAGGTGATTGATTAGCTTGACCGCGCTGCGTATCTCCTGGATCAGCTGGAATCCTTTTTGGCCTATTTGCTTGTTTACTACCAGCCAGTCACAGTGGAGCCAAGCTGGCTTGGTGTAGAAGACAGGTCTCAATGGTTCTTTTTTTTGTTTGTTTGTTTTTTAAGGTATCTCAGGATCATAGAGTTATCTAAGAAAATCTGTGAGAGTGTTTGGAAGAAATTATGTTTAATTAGCAAAATGTTGGGTACATCAGGTAACACACACATTCTTTATGCTCCATGGATTGGCTAAGTGACTTGCATCTCTAGACAGTTTCGAAACTTGGGCTACGGATATCCACTACAGTGTAAATAGCCAAGTAGGTGATGCAAATCAAAATATGCCGACATAATTAAATCCATTCCACATGACTTCATATGGAATATAGCCTATCAATCTGATAAAGGTAACTGAAATATATTATGAATGAAGTATCTTGCATTCTTGTAAGGCAGCTGATATAAGGGTAGTACAGTAAAGTACCTGAGAACTTCTCTGGAATCCAGAATTCTGTCTCAGCCATTTTTAGTACAACACGGCAGGAAAGTTTGATGTTATGTGTTGATGACTCAGAAGACGGCACGCAGTGTGAGATACTGCTGAGAACTAGA